GAACATGGCAAGACACTGACTGACAGACAGACAGACACACACACACACACACACACACACACACAGAGAGACAGAGAGACAGAGAGAGGGAGAGACAGAGAGATAGAGACCTTAAAAGGGAAATACTGACCTTTTATCAAGGTCTTGAACTGAACTTACTCACTAGACACCACATAATTCACAATTTAAAAAAAAGGAAAGGTTCTTTCATTGACGGACAGTTATAATTTTGCAGATGCAGATTCACCTCAAAGTACATCTTAAGGTAAAATGAGGAAATCCATAATCTGGATGATAGGAACAAGGGCTGGTCCAGGTACAAGAGACAGTTGAAGGAGCTGAGAAGTGTCAGGAGAGAATGCCAGTTGCATGAAAGAGACAAAGACAACTGGATCTGAAGGGAGGAATCAATGGTGTGGAACAGAGGACTTCTCAAAAACCTTTGCAAGACAATCCAGAATAGCAGCATGTCCAGGGCTGCCAGTTAGAAGATGGCAGAGCAAAGACGTTTCTGACCTCCTTTACACTTTCCAATCCCTACAGACAATGGAGGAAGAGACAGAATACAAACTCCTTTTCTGACAGAGCTACAGGACATCTGTAAAGCTGAGCCATAGCAGATGAGGAAGAGTTGCCAAATGCAGAGAAAATTAAACAGTTATGGAAGATGCTGAAAGCACAAAGTAAGTGGTAAACCCGGAGGGGCAAATTTAACAATTCTATCTTTGGATTAGGAAGGGATGTGTGAACTAACAGAGGGAACTTCCTAGATTCTGCAGAATGACAGGAGAAATACAGCCAAGTACCCTGAAGTGGAAATCATATGCAAGACATTCTCTCATTACAATGCAATTAGACTAGAAATGAATGACAAAGGCTTTGGGAACACCACATGTCACAATCTATGGCGACAGCTAAAGAGTCTCAGAGAAAAATTCATGATCTTAAGCACTTATGCTATAAATAAGAAAGGATGGAAGAAAGGAAGTACATACACATTTCCAAAGAGCTACAGAAAGAACCAAAAAATAAGCCTAAATCAAGCTGAAAGAAATCATGAATAAAAGCAGTAATCAATGAATATAAAGTAGAAAAGTAGTGAAAATGCAAGTAGAGACATAGATAAGAGACAGACAGATAAATGAAAAGAAAAGTGCTTTAGGAAGGAAAAGACATCCAATAAAATAACAAATAAGCTAAATTAAAGGATATAGGTATAAATCATAAATATTAAAGATAAGTAAAGCATATGAAAATAATCATAAGAGACAATTTTGGTACATTCTATTCAAATAATTTGAAAACTTGAAAGAAATTATTCGAAAAACTTACAGGAAAATGGTCCAAAAACATAATTAGTAGAACTAGAACTGAATCCCAAAGACACACACAATTTAAACAAATTACTCTCAAAAAAAGAAAGAAAACCTAAACCTAGGGAAAAAACTGTCAAACAGCTACCCATCACAAAAACACATGTCCAGATGGTTTTACAGGGAAAAACCTATCAAAACTTTAAGAAACAGCAAAGCCAATGCTATTTAAATTGCTGCAGAACATAGAAAAAGAAGTAAAATACTGTTGTAGCCATGGTTTACAAGGAAATACAGGATTTAATATAGGACACATAATTTATGGAATTATTTTATAATATTCACCCCAAAAGTCAAATGCAGAAGAGTACAAAAGGTTGGCCACATGCTAAAGACCAGAAGAATCCCCAACAGCCTGGATCCCTTGTCAGTGTCTCTAGGAGTCCAGATGGGGGTCTAGAGTCCATGGTAACGTCTCATGCAAGTCTGTATCAAGGACTGGGAATGCTCGAGGTCATTGGTGTAAACTAGTGATCTGCACAATTGGGGTGAAGGATCTGTGCCAGAAGGCTGAAGGATGTGCACTGGAGCTAGGAAATGATGCTCAAGGTAAAGACCAGAGCTCCTCCAAATAGAACAGCAGCCACCCCCGGCAACTGTAAGGACCAAGCTCCTCTACTGATGAGAACAGCCCAGTTCATATCAGGGAAACCAGCCACAGCAAGCTTCTCCAGGAAAATCAACAGCATGCCATCTCCCCCTCCTCTTCTCCTTTTGAGTCATTTTGGCAACAATCCTCCAGTGGGTCTTCCAACCCTGGAACCGAGGTGACTCAATTTAGTTGAGGGTTACAAGTTGACCACTAGTTAATCCTCCACAGAAGCTTTCTATGTCACCACTACACTGTTAGCCAAACGAACAATGATAACGCAAAAAAGAAAACCACAGACTAATCTCACTTATTTTGACAAAAAAATACTTATCATAGAAATTTTAGCAGAGTCCAGCAACATCAGGCATGGTAATCTGTAATCTGAACACCTGTAATCTGAGCACTCAAGTTGCTGAGGCAGAAGGATGACAAGTTCAAGCCCAGCCTGCTCTACTATAGTGAGTTCAAGGTCAGCCTAGACTATATAGTGAAACATTGTCTCAAAATATAAGAATCCAGGAAGGCAGGAGGACAGAAGACCCAGGCATCCTGCTCCCCACTAATGTTACCCTACTACAGAGATCTGGTGAGACACAGTCAGGGGAGACAGCTTTGAAGGAGGTAAAATCTAAACAAGGATCTCCTAGGATCCCTTGGTAGGCCTGTAATTTTGTTGTGGGAGGTCAGGTTTGGTTTGTTCAGCGTGTTCCTGAAGGAGAAGGTATTTAGTCCAGTGGTATGCTGAGCTCTTGCACTGCTATTTACATCCCATAGGAATTAGTGCTCTGAATTACTATAGGTCAATATATGGGTGGCTAAGTGTCTTCACCAGAATCACAGACCCCTTTATTCTGGTTAAGGACAGTTCAAGGTGGTTATTAGGGTTTGCCAATATCCAGCTGATATTTGACATCATTGTTGTTGCTGACTTAACTACTGTAGCCAATAAGGTATAGTAGTTCCTGTCAATTGGCTTTTCTCTATGTCAATATCTAGATTGTCTGGAGGTCACAAACAGTACTGTGGCTCATTCCTGAAGAACGGGTACTGGGATAAAGAAGCTATAAACCTGAGCACAAAACAAACACAAATAAGACAACAAAATGCTCCAAAACATTCCAACTCCCCCAGAACAGATTCAGGAGCATCAAGGGACAGGTAATCACAAGATACACAGCAGAAAGGTCTGAAAAGTTCTCAATGAAGGTAAAACTGTTCAATAAAGTGGTTGGCAAAATTAAAGAAGATATAACTAATCACATATGACCATAATGAAATAAATGATCAGCAAGTCTAGAGAATACCCTAACAAAAATCTAATGGAATTAAAGAAAGATATGCAAAACATGAATGCCCTGCATAGAAAAGAATGGGAGTCCACAAAAAAGTTCCAAAAATAAATCCAGGATATCAAGCATATGACTGAAAGTATGAGTAGCAGAACTGCCCAATGTGAAGTCAGAGTGTCAGATCTCGACACTCTGTGGTCAATGATTGATTAGTGAGAAAAACAACAGAACATGAAATGGATCCAACAGATACAAGACTACTCAAATAACTCAAAGAAGATGAATGTTAGAGTAATTGGAATTAATAAATCAGAAGACAGTACAAAGGAAAACTTTTCATAGAAACTATAATAAGCAGAAAACTTTCCAGACATGAAAAAATACTTTAACACTGGATCTCAACCTGCCAAAGATTAAAACTAGACCCTTATCTTTCACCATGCACTAAACTAAAATCCAAGTGCACTGTGATTAATTCTTTTGGAAAGATATCCACCAGAGGGATGGCTGGGTCAAATGGATCCTCTAGTCCCAGCTCTTTGAAGTATCTCCATATTGATTTCCATAGTGGTTGCACCAGTCTGCACTCCCACCAACAATGGAGAAGGGTTCCTTTCTCCCCACAACCCCACCAACATTTGTTATTGATTGATTTCTTGATAGCAGCCATTCTTTGTGGGGTGAAGGGGAATCTCAGAGTCCTTTGTCCGAGAAGCAGCTGGTAAAATTTTTTTCCCACATTGTAGGTTGTCTCTTAGTTCTGTTGATGGTTTCTTTTTCAGTGAAGCTTTTTAATAAGATGAGATCCCAGTTGTTGATGCTTTCTGCTAATTCCCGTGCTACTGAGGATTTGTTCATAAAGTCTTTTCCTATGCCAATGTCTTCAAGAGTTCTGCCTAACTTATCTTCCAGCAAGTTTAGTGTTTCTTTTTTAATATTTAGATCTTTAATCCACTTGGATTTTATTTTAGGGCATGGTGAAAGATTAGGGTCTAGTTTTAATCTTTGGCAAGCTGAAATCCAGTTTTTCCAACACCATTTATTAAAGAGACTATCTTGCCTCCAGTGAGGATGGTCACTCCTTTGTCAAAGATGAGGTAGCTGAGTACATCTGGAGTTGTTTTAGTATCTTCCAGTCTGTTCCATTGATCCTCGGGTCTGTTTCTTTGCCAGTACCATGTTGTTTTTATCACAGTGGCTTTATAGTATAGTTTACAATTGGGGGTTATTTACCCACTGCCATGTCTCTGTTGCCTAGGATGGCTTTTGCTGTTCTAGGTCTCATCTGGTTCCAAATGAATTTCTGAATTATTTTTTCTAGTTCTGTGATATAAAGTATTGGAATTTCAATCAGCATTGCATTGAATCTGTATAACAATTTTGGTAGTATGGCCATTTTCACTATGTTGATTCTTCCTACCCAGGAGCAGAGGATATCTTTCCATTTTCTTATATCCTCTTTGATCTCTTTTGTCAGAGTGCTTTAGTTTGCATTGTAGAGGTCTTTTGCTTCTTTTGTTAGATTGATTCCTAGATACTTCATTTTTTTGGATGCTATTGTGAAAGGAATTGTTTCCCTAATTTCTCTCTCAGTGAGTCTGTTATTTGTATACAAGGCTATTGATTTTTGAGTGTTGACCTTGTATCCAGCTACTCTGCTAAAAGTGTCAATTAAGTCTAGAAGTCTATACTCCTAAGTGAAATAAATAAGTCACACATTTGTAAATACTGAATAGTTCCTCTGGTGTGAAAAACTATAATAGTACATAAGATCCTAATGATGTAATTGACAATGTGAAATAGGAAGAAAAGAGCTAAAGGTGTAGGGAAAGTGGGAAGGGTAGGGGAAAGGTAATAGGGGAAAAATATATATATGAGAAAATGAAAAAATGGAAATAAAGTGTTTGTAAATGGGGAGGATAGAAGTGGATGAAGGGAGGGCAGGGACAAGGGGAAAAAATGAGAACCAAGACCTGTCATGTAAAGGTACAAGATCCCAATGATTAATGTAACTGTACTGTATACCTAAAATGTACCAATAAACTCAATGAGAAAAAAAAATTTTTTTAATAAAATAGTGGATCTGGGATTTAGCTCAGTGGTTCCGCCACCTGCCTTGCAAACACAAGGTCCTAAGTTCAATCCCTAGTACCCAAAACAAACAAACAAAAAAAACTAAATATAGAAATTCAATTTGACCCAGCTGCCCCCTCCTAGGTGTCTTCCTAAAAGATTTAAAATCATCACATAATAAAGATACATGCATACCAATGTATATAGTAACACAATTTATAATAGCTAGACCTTGGAAACAGCATATATGCTCATCAGCCGATGAATGTATAAGAAAAATATGGTATTTATACACAGTGGAGTACTACTCTACATGAAGAAATATAAACTTGAGACATTCATAGATTAATGGATCC